CGTTTTCTAAAAATCTGACTTTTTCCGAGTTTAAACACTTTGTTCCCAAGTTAATAGAATATAAGTTTGAGATTTGCAAATCGTGGCGTTTGTTTTATTTCGATTTCATGCAGCTTTTATGAACTGCGGTTGTACAAACAAAATGTCTGACGGTCTTTTCCAAGCTGTTGCGTTTTCATTAAAACAAGGTTTCCTCACAGACGGCGGCGTCTGTCTGATGCAGCTCAGGGAGACAGACCTCAGCCCTGAAAGGCAGTTTGTGTGACGGGTTGTCCACGTCCACGCACAGATCATCAACCTTCGTTATCTTCACTCCACGGTCATCCCACCTCCCTCTAATCTCCCACTTTGTTCTCCATTCAGTCGTGTCTTCGTCTTATTGCTCACATCCTTCAAAGTGCCGCTCCAGATTCATTCGCGGACCCACTTTAAAGAGCCCATTCAGATGGATGTCTTGCGAGTCACCAGTTGTACCTTTGCTGCATTTCATTACGACTCATTCATGCTTGTTTCCATAACTTAGGCTTGTCAAACCATTTCACAAGACGTTTTTTTATGGCTCAAGGCGTAGACTTATTCTCCCCGAGTCGTCCCTTTTGAGTCACAATTGGACACGGCGTTTTGTCCCGCGGACACAAAAAGAAGGACAATTTCTTTAACCAACAAGAAACTCTATAAAATTATTTTTTTTGCACGGTGGTGAGAATAATCCTTAAATTCATGAATATGCTTCTTGACTCGTCACTCATTTGGGGTAGGATTGGTTTTATTAGAATAAGTCAACAAAAAGCTTGAGAAATAATCGGACAATTCTGGTTTTAGCTTATGAAAAGTGTCTGTTATGTTTAAACCTCAGGAAATCCCAATGGGAAACATTAGCCACGTGTTTTTTGTTTTCATTAATTTATTGGTTATCATCATTATCTTCAAAATATTAATCGGCTCCGTCCTTCCCTCACTCCTCACTCCACTGCTGTTCTGGTCCACAGTCTGGTCACCTCCATCCATCCATTCTCTTCCGCTTATCCGGGGTCGGGTCGCGGGGGTAGCAGCCTAAGTAGGGAGGCCCAGACTTCCCTCTCCCCAGCCACTTGGTCCAGCTCCTCCAGGGAAATCCCGAAGCGTTCCCAGGCCAGCTGAGAAACATAGTCCCTCCAGCATGTCCTGGGTCTTCCTCTGGGTCTCCTCCTGGTGGGACGTGTCCAGAACACCTCACCAGGGAGGCGTCCAGAAGGCATCCTAACCAAATGCCCGAGCCACCTCAACTGGCTCCTCTCGACGTGGAGAAGCAGCAGCTCTACTCTGAGTCCCTCCCGGATGACCGAGCTTCTCACCCTGTCTCTAAGGGAGAGCCCAGACACCCTGCGGAGAAAACTCATTTCGGCCGCTTGTATCCAAGATCTCATTCTTTCGGTCACAACCCAAAGCTCATGACCATAGATGAGGGTGGGAACGTAGATCCATCGGTAAATTGAGAGCTTCGCCTTTTGACTCAGCTCTCTCTTCACCACGACAGACCGGTACAGCGCCCGCTTCACTGCAGACGCTGCACCTATCCACTTATCGATCTCACGTTCCATTTTTCCCTCATTCGTGAACAAGACCCCAAGATACTTGAACTCCTCCACTTGGGGTAGGACCTCCTCCCTGACCCGGAGAGGGCACTCTACCCTTTTCCGGCTCAAGACCATGTCCTCGGATTTGGAGGAACTGATCTTCATCCCGGCCTCATCACACTCAGCTGCAAATCGCTCCAGCGAAAGCTGTAGATCACGACTTGATGAATCCAACAGGACCACATCATCTGCAAAAAGCAGAGAAGTGATCCTAAGGCCACCAAAACGGATCCCCTCAACACCTTGGCTGTGCCTAGAAATTCTGTCCGTAAAAGTTATGAACAGAATCGGTGACAAAGGGCAACCTTGGCAGAGTCCAACTCTCACCGGGAACGAGCCCGACTTACTGCCGGCAATGCGGACCAGGCTCTGACACCGGTCATACAGGGACCTAACAGCCCGTATCAAAGGGCCCGGTACCCCATGCTCCCAGAGTACCCCCCACATGGTTCCCCGAGGGACGCGGTCGAACGCCTTCTCCAAGTCCACAAAGCACATGTAGACTGGCTGGGCAAACTCCCACGCACCCTCCAGGACCCTGCTGAGAGTGTAGAGCTGGTCCAGTGTTCCATGACCAGGACAATAACCACACTGCTCCTCCTGAATCTGAGGTTCAACTGTCCAATGGACCCTCCTCTCGTTTAGATTATTGTAATTCTTTTCTTTTTGGCCTACCACAGAAAACCCTCCATGAATTACAACTGGTCCAAAACTCAGCTGCCCATATCATTACATGGACCCCCTCAATCCATCACATCACACCTGTTTTACAACAGCTTCAATGGCTTCCCATCCCACATCAACTACAAAATACTTCTCCTTACCTTCAAAGCTGTCCACAACCTCGCTCCTCCAGACCTTTCGGACCTTCTTCACATTGCTACACCCGCTCGTACCGTCAGATCCTCTTCTTCTATTCAGCTCATTGTTCCCCTTGTCCGTCTTGTTACGATGGGGAGCAGAGCATTCAGCTGCTCTGGGACTCACTCCCACCTGATATTCACAACAGACTCATTGCCACATTTCAAATCCAAACTCAAAACGTATCTGTTTAAAGTAGCTACACTCTGTGATTGCAACTGCATTGTCTTATTTTAATTCTATTTTACTTGTTTTTACTCTGTGTATAATATTGTCTGTTTTTATGATCGACAATGTAAGGTGACCTTAAGTGCCAATAAAGGCGTCTACAACTAAAATGTATTATTATTATTATCATTATCAATAAATACAAACATTTCTGATAAAGCTGAAAAACAATTCTAAAATTAATTAATTTTGTCCGACTTGTTATAGAAGATCCCGTAACATCACAGGAACATTACTGCCCTCTAATGTTATGTAGGGGGAAATCCACCACATTGAAATCCCATTATAAATGCATTGTTTGAGCCTGTATCATAAAATAACATATTCCTTTCAGTGATGTTTTTCAGTTTTTTCTTTTTATGTTAGCTCACTAGGTGATGATTCTCTTATAGATTTGAGTAAAGCTGTGACAATCACAAGGAGTGGGCGGGAACTTACCTGAAGAGGCGTGTCCATCAGGTCTGGACATTCCTGTGGAGTCCCGTCTACAGCTGAACTGTTTTCTTCAGCTGGAACACCACACTTACTTTGTGCATGAGTAAACTGTGTACTTGCCTTGGCAGGGCGCTCATATCTTCCGTGATTTTTTTTTGGGTGGGTGGGGGTGGGGGGGGGACACATCTGTCTTGTGCTGTTTGTACCAACAGTTTAAGCGCAGGGGGCTGGGATAGAAATGGATCAGCATGAGGGACGCGGAGCGCTACCTCCATACACAGAGTGTTTTGGCTAGTGTGTTTGAATTGCACGCCGCTAACGCTATGTCTATGCCGGCAGTTGTCGATGGGGGGAGGTTGTCCAGTAGGCAGGGCACTCGGTTCTGTTGACAGGGCGGGGCGCCCTGCTTGTATAATGGTAGGGGAAACACTGGTAAACACTTGATACAAGAAGCGAAGCCACGTGCTGAAGAATCCAGGGCTGAGAACGACTGACTCTTGTTCGCGCAACTGAAAACGTGGAGCAGCTCGGTGGTTCAGTAACAATGAAAAACAAAGCACTCACCAGCATTGTGCACGAGTCAAGTTTGAAATAATAATAATAGTAATAATCTAAAACAAAAAAAGAGTAAAAAATTAAAAAATACTCCATGTCCGAAAACAAGGCGTCATTTATAGCTTCTGGTTCTGGAGCGTCCTTCTCAAAACTCCAGACTGGAATTAAATAAATAAACAAAACGTCAAAATGCCGTTTTGTGCATCCTAAAGAGCAACAAACATCTAAACAAAAAGAAGTTGCCATTTAAAACTTAAGATCTCAAAGATGCACTGAAACGAAGAAAAAAAGACGTTAAAATTTGCTGCTTAATTTCAGAATGAGGAAGCTCGTTTATTAAACTTTAATTATCTGCAGCGTCTAACAGCGTTTCCTGAGACTCTAAACCAAACCAACAAGAAAAAAGATGCCAGAAACCGTTTGTGCTGCAGCTATTCTCAGTTGCTGTAATAGTTATCTCAAATTGTTTACACAAAATCACAATTTTCTAAGAGTACAACTCTTAAACTGCTTAGCTACAAACTTCTGCGTGATTTTTTTTAACTTCTGGTCTGACAAACAGCTGTTTGTTGGAGACGATGTAGCATATTAGCCAACTAGCTAAAAGCTAACAGCTTCAAAATACTGCACTTTCAGTGGATGGCCAGTAGATGGCAGTGTATTTTATGATGCTCTAGAGTCCACTTTAGTGGTTCACGTGCAGTTATAACATAAAAACCCATACAAGTGCAAGAAAATGGCTTTTAAATATCTGTCCACTGCCCTGACCACTGTTTACTGGTTTTTATTGCTCGCTGACATGAAAGACGTGAGAAAACCTAAATGTCCGAGTTCAAATAAACCTCGAGAAAGTAATCATTGGGTGAACATCAAGGTGTGCAACGAGCAGCGTGTAGCTGCATCAATTTTTAATTCAAGTGAATTTATTATGTGGGTTTTGAAGTGTTGCCGAGGGAATAAAAGCAGAATATTAGACGAGCACGAGAGCCAAATCAGATGTGATGAGCAGAAAAACAGAAGAAGGTGAAAAATGGATGAAGGTCGTTGAAACGCAGCAGGCTTGATGAATCCTCCTGGAGGACTGCTCTTCAGAGGGAGATGAGACACTTTTCTTGACCCAAATATAGAACGAGACAGAGACAAAAAAAGCTGTTTATGATTCGAGCGCTTTGTGAGTTCAGTTGAAATCTTTGGGGAATTCATGTCGGGGCCTTTTTGTCTGACTAATATTACGAGTTTGAGCAGATGTGTGGTCTGCTGTCTGAACCTCTGCTTGTGTCCCCGTCCCGTCCTCCCTGTCCTCAGACAGTAACTTTGTCCTCGGGAACGCTCAGGTCCAGTCTCTCTACCCCATCGTCTACTGCTCGGACGGGTTCTGCGAGCTGAGCGGCTTCGCCCGCGGCGAGCTGATGCAGAAGAGCTGCATGTGTCACTTCCTGTACGGCAGCGAGACCGGCGACCGCATCACCTCGCACATGCAGAAGGCCCTGGATGAACGCCGGGAGTTCAAGACCGAGATCGTCCTGTACAAGAAGAGCGGTAAAGGCTGCTGTCGAAGCCCATCACTCGATGCATGAACGACTCTTTGTTTGACACAAACTGTCTCCTTTAAAAGGCTCCAAGTTCTGGTGCTTGTTGGACATAGTTCCCATCAAGAATGAGAAGAGTGAGGTGGTTCTGTTCCTGGTCTCACACAAGGACATCACAGAGAGTAAAGTCCTGGACCGTGGCAATGAATCCGACACCGGTGAGTAGAGAAGTTCAATTCCACTTTCATTCTGGTGAAATGATTGAGTGAAGACTCTGCAGCCGAGAGCTTGTGTGCCGCAGCCGAGAGCTTGTGTGTAGCAGCCGAGAGCTTGTGTGCAGCAGACAATAGAAAGCCTGGAGTCTGTCAGCAGCCCAGTTCTGAACGGGTCGCAGCGCTGGCTTCAGTTTTCTTAGGTTACTGTTCAAAGTATGAGCAAAAAATACGACTGGAATGTCTGAAGAAGCTGAAACAGAGTTCCTAAAGCTAAAAGATGCAGAACACAAGCTAAAACCTACAAGTAGATAAACTCTAATCAAAAGCTATAAGTAGCAATATGCTAGCTGAAAGCTATAAGTAGCAATATGCTAGCTGAAAGCTATAAGTAGCAATATGCTAGCTGAAAGCTATAAGTAACAATATGCTAGCTGAAAGCTATAAGTAGCAATATGCTAGCTGAAAGCTATAAGTAGCAATATGCGAGCTGAAAGCTATAAGTAGCAATATGCTATCTGAAAGCTATAAGTAGCAATATGCTAGATAAAAGTTATAAGTACTAATATGCTAGCTGAAAGCTATAAGTAGCAATGTGCTAGCTGAAAGCTATAAATAGCAATATGCTAGATGAAAGCTATAAGTAGCAATATGCTAGCTGAAAGCTATAAGTAGCAATATGCTAGCTGAACGCTATAAGTAGCAATATGCTAGATGAAAGCTATAAGTAGCAATAAGCTAAAAAAAAGTTGCAAACCACTAACTAAAAGTCACAAATGCTGCCTAAAAGCTAAAAAATGCAAAAGGCTAGCTAACCAATAACAGTAACAGAATGCTAGCCGAATGCTAGCTAAAAGCAACGGTTAGCTAAGAGCTAAAAGTAGCATGAGAGGTCAGAAACTGCAAATCTGCTAAAGGCTAACTGTAAGGAGAACCATAATTTAAAGGAAACAAAGATCTCTTGGTGTATTTCTTTGGGGAAAACATCCGTATTTTAAAGTTATATAAAATTTACAAAAACCTGAAGTCACAGCATTGCTCACCTGAATGAGCCGAATGTTTTCATCTATGAATGGCTTAAAGGACACTAAGTCTGCAGACCAAGGTAGAGGCAAAGAATGGCGTGGAAAGTATAAAGCAACAATGTGAACGCTGAGTCAGCATTATTCTGTTAAAACGTGTTCACGTCCCTCGTGAGGGAACGTCTGGGGATGCTAAGTCCACATTATGAAAACTTTAATATTTTAAAACCTTCTTCTAACAGTCGGCTGCCTTGGGCTCCACGGAGCAGAACCAAAACACTTTGACAATTAATCCCTAAAAAGCTCTGGAAGACAGCGATACGTTCCCACAGATCGGTGTGTAACGGACATCAGGGATGGACGGTAGAAGAAAACAGGACAATACAAACTGTTGGTACTTGCCAAGCCGACACCGTGAAAACAAATCTGTTTTTCATGTCTTGCCTGGTAAAATAAAGGTTGAACTTCATTAGTCACTGATGTTTACTGCATCCAGTTCACTGTGACCTTTTCAGATGAGGAAACCGGTCTTGAGATCCACCCGATCAACCGGCCTGCTGGGTGCAACTTGGAGCGCCGGCGCAGTCGGGCCGTCCTCTACCAGCTGTCTGGACACCTCCAGAAACAGGACAAGACCAAGAGCAAACTGAAGCTCAACAACGTGAGAGCCGACTCTTAAAGTTTCTAACAACGGCATTGTAATATTTTATGTCTCCTTTGTCTCAAAACAAAAAGACGTCTAATATGTTCGTTCTCGTTTTGGAATGTTCACGTTTGAAGAGCGTATTTGGAGCCAACGCCAACCCGATCCCCGAGTACAAGGTGGCTGACGTCCAGAAGTCCCGCTTCATCCTCCTGCACTACGGTGCGTTCAAGGCCGGCTGGGATTGGCTGATCTTGTTGGCCACCTTCTACGTAGCAGTCACCGTTCCCTACAACGTCTGCTTCACAGCCGTGGAGATACGAGAGGATGGCGGCGCGGCGGCTCGGAGCCCTCCGAGTGTCAGCGACATCCTGGTGGAGCTCCTCTTCATCATCGGTGAGTTGGACTTCAACTTCTTCAGACACGACTAAGTTATTGGTGGTGTTTTCCTTTAGTGTCACTAGTGCAGTTCTTTAATTGTTTTATGTAGTTGTTTTCCTAAAGCCACAGTTTTTACTCAAAACCAGTCAGATACTTCCTCATTTTAAGAGGAAACCCCTCCTGATCTCTATATTCCAATCAAATCAGTTTTTCTTCCTTAATTAATTCTTGAAACTGGACATGGCTGTGTTTCCGTTATCCAGTTTCAGCACGGCTTTCTTTGCCCTGGTAGTTTTCCATATAACTGATTGCTGCCTCAGATAGGGCATCACTGAGCGGCCGCCAAAAAGCTTACCACCAACAAGTAGCTGAGCGAAATGAACGGCATCATTTCCAAAAATGCTGTGTTTGAATCGAGGCCACCTCCTCTCCTGCAGTCAGAGTCCGTCACTCAAGTCCATTGAGTCTAAAGCTGTCTGAATGTTGCCATCAGCCGACAAGCAAGGCAGCATCTGCCCCTCGAGCACCACGGCGTTGTCAGGTTCACATATACATTCAGTACTTTTCAAATATCAAAATCCTCAAACAAACGCTTCAGTTGGAATGTTTTCAGAAAAGTAGGTTTGACGATCATGGTGATCTGTAGTGAGAACAGGGAAGAGGTGGAAGAGAACTTGGAGACGTGGAGGTATGCACTTGAAAGAAGAGGAATGAAAGTCAGCCGTAGTAAGACAGAGTACATGTGTGTAAATGAAAGGGAGGCTGGTGATACAGTGAGGCTACAAGGAGCAGAGGTCACAAAGGTGCAGGACTTCAAGTACTTGGGGTCCACTGTCCAGGGAAATGGGGAATGTGGTAAAGAGGTGAAGAAGAGAGTCCAGGCAGGATGAAGTGGATGGAGAAAAGTTTCAGGAGTGATTTGTGACAACAAGGTGTCAGCAAAGTCAAAGGAAAAGTTTACAAGACAGTGGTGAGACCAGCTATATTATATGGTCTGGAGACAGTGGCATTGACAAAAAGACAGAAGAAAGAACTGGAAGTGGCAGAAATGAAGATGCTAAGGTTTTCCTTAGGAGTGACAAGGCTGGATAAGATTAAGAATGAGATCATCAGAGGTACAGCCCAGGTTGAACAACTGGGAGATAAAGTTAGGGAGGCCAGACTGAGATGGTTTGGACATGTCAAGAGGAGGGACCATGGGTATATTGGTAGAAGGATGTTAGAAATGCAGCTGCCAGGAAAAAGACAAAGAGGATATATATGGATGCAGTTAGAGAGGACATGAAGGTAGTTGGAGTGAGGACGGGATGCAGAGGACAGAGTGAGGTGGAGGAGGATGACTCGCTGTGGCGACCCCTGAAGAGGGAAAAGCCGAAAGAAGAAGAAGGTTTGACGATTGGGGCCTCACCCTCAGTAACGAGGCCGTTGCTTTGGTCGTTCGTGGTGAAGAAAGCACTGAGTCTGAAGGTATCCATCCATCCATTGTCTTCTGTTTATACGGGGTAGGGTCGCGGGGGTAGCAGCCTATGTAGGGAGGCCCAGACTTCCCTCTCCCCAGCCACTTGGACCAGCTCCTCCGGGGGAATCCCAAAGAGTTCTCAGGCCAGCTGAGAAACATAGTCCCTCCAGCGTGTCCTGGGTCTTCCTCTGAGTCTCCTCCTGGTGGGACGTGTCTGGAACACCTCACCAGGGAGGCGTCCAGGAGGCATCCTAACCAGATGCCCGAGCCACCTCAACTGGCTCCTCTCGATGTCTAAAGGTTAGGATTTCCTGGCCCGTCTATGTTCCAACCCTCACCTGTGGTCCTGAGGTTTGGATCAGGAACGAAAGAACCAGATCCTGGATCCAGTCTGCTGAAATGAGCTTCCTTCATAAATGGGGAGGGAAGGGGGGGGGGGGGGGCTCAGCCTTAGAGATAAGAGGTGTAGCTTCATCATCTGAGGGGAGCTCAGAGTAGAGCTGTTCCTTTGCATCAAAAGGAGTCATCTGAGGAGGTTCCTCTGAGGAGGTTCCTCTGATCAGGACGCCTTCCTTTGGAGATTTTCTAGTCATGTCCCACTGGGAAAAGACCCCTGGAGGAGCTGGATGTTGTCTCTCAGTAGAAGGAGGTTCTTCTCCTGGACCTGGTGTCTATAAGACTGGACTATGGTTAAGCGGCAGAAGACAGAGGCGGTTTGATTCCTGTAACTCATAACTGACGTCTCTCTCTGACTGAGGTCTGAAGACGTAAAGAACTCGTCAGTCTGGTCAAAATAAATTCTTTGTACAACAGGTAAGATAATGATTATTTGTAGCTTTTGCACACAAGACTGCCTAAAAAAGCTCTGAGCTAGCCCTTTAGCTTGAGCTTTAGTGTTTGTCCAAAAATGGCTGAAGGTCAGAGGGATCTATCCGTCTGTCGGCACAAACCGGGTCAAACTGACCTGGAACAAACTGGTCTGACTGAATCCAGTTTGTCTCTGCAGATAGTCTGGGTCCACCTGAGGCCACATTAGCTAAACATGTGCTAAACCTGTCATTAATACTAGCAAAATACTAGCTAAAATCTTGAACTATCAAAACAGTTGTTAAAAAATTGAAAGAGCAAAAATGTAGGTAAAAGCCTAAATTTAGTAAACAGTAGCTAAAAATGTCTTGCTGCGAAAGTGAAAATCATTAGCTTAAACTTCCAAACAGTAGCTAAAAATTTAATTGAGCAAATTAGTAGCTAAAAGCTAATAACAAATTTTTAAAAAATCACTACATAAATAAAAACAACAAAAAAGTATCTAATCGTTATAATTAATAAAACAGTAGCTAAAAGCTGAAATTTCTAAATTTGCAACTATAACAAGTAAGCAGTAGCTAAACCTAGCAAGACAGAGGCTAAATGCTAAAATTAGCAATTCAGTAGCTATAAACCAAAACTATTTAAACAGTAGCTTAAACCTTCAATTTAGAAAAACAGCAACTAAAAGCTAAAACTGGTAAAATGAAATTAAAATGTATGAACCAGTATCTAAAACCGAAAGTAAGATTTATGCTAAATGCTAACATTTGGAAAGTATGTAGCTAAAATTAGCAAGATAGGAGCTAAAAGCTAAAATGAGTAAATCAGTAGCTATTAACCAAAGCTATTAAGCCAGTAGCTTAAACCTAGAAATTGGACAACTCAGTGGCTAAAAGCTAAAAATTAAACTAAAACCACTAAAACAGTAGCTAAAACCAAAAATATCTCAATAGTAGCTAAAAATAAAAATAAATTATATAAATATTAAACTAGTAGCAAAAAAACAAACCGTATCAAAGCTACAAACAGTAAAACAATAACTAAAAGCTGAAATTTCTAAATTAGTAGTTATAACAAGTAAACAGTAGCTAAACCTAGCAAGACGGAAGCTAAAAGCTAAAATTAGCAAATCAATAGCTATAAATCAAAACTATTAAAACAGTAGCTTAAACTTCCATACAGTAACTAAAATGTAAAATGAGCAACATAGTAGATAAAAGTTAACAAAAAACAGTATCTGATTGCTGTAATTTGAAATACAGTAGCTAAAGCTGAAAATTTTAAACTAGTAGCTAAAATTAGCAATGCATGAGCTAAAAGCTAAAAGGAATAAATCATTAGCTATAAACCAAAATAATTAAAACAGTAGCTTAAACCTACAAATTGGACAAATCAGTGGCTAAGAGATAAAACTAAACTAAAACCACTAAAAAAGTAGCTAAAACCAAAAATATATAAATAGTAGCTAAAAATTATTATTTTTTATATAAATATTAAACCAGTAGCAAAAAACAAAACACATCAAAGCTTCAAACAGTAAAACAATAACTAAAAGCTAAAATTTCTAAATTAGTAGCTATAACAAGTAAACAGTAGCTAAACCTAGCAAGACAGAAGCTAAAAGCTAAAATTAGCAAATCAATAACTATAAACTAAAACTATTAAAACAGTAGCTCAAATTTCCATACAGTAGCTAAATTTTAAAATGAGAAAATTAGTAGCTAAAAGTTAAAAACAAATAAAAAAATCACAACATAAATAAAAACAACAAAAAACAGTATCTGATTGCTGTAATTTGAAAAACAGTAGCTAAAAGCTGAAAATTTTAAACTAGTAGCTATAACAAGTAAACAGTAGCTAAAATTAGCAATACATGAGCTAAAAGCTAGGCGTAAATCAATATATTTAAACCAAAATACGTAATTAAAACAGTAGCTTAAACTTACAAATAAAAAAATGGCTAAAACTAAACTAAAACCACCAAAACAGTAGCTAAAACCAAAAATATCTAAATAGTAGCTAAACATAAAAATATATAATTGATATAAATATTAAAATGGTAACAAAAAAAAAACATAAAACAGTAGCTAAAAGCTACACTTAGCAAATCAGTAACAAAAGGAGAAACTGACTGAAAACAGCTAAAAAACTGAAATTTAAAGATTTGGAGAACTCCAGTGAGGAAAATGTAAATAAAGTTAAATAAATAAACTAAAGTTAGAAAAACGAAGAGCCATTACTGTAAAGTTGTGAACGAGACAAACTTTCTGACATATTCGGCTGTTGAAGCAGCCGAAATGTTTTTCTTCCAGTTTAAGGTGTGTAAAATGTTTATTTTCTTAAAGTGGCGGTAAACTGTTTGTGACTCTGGTGTGTTGGACCAGATATCGTGCTGAACTTCAGAACCAGCTACGTGAGCACGTCGGGTCAGGTGGTGTACGACGCCCGCTCCATCTGCCTCCACTACGCCACCTCCTGGCTCTTCGTGGATCTGATGGCAGCGCTGCCCTTCGACCTCCTGTACGCCTTCAACATCAGCGTGGTGAGTTCAAGGACACGGCCGAAAGGGGAGAAAACGGTGTTGACCCGTCTGGGTTTCTGTTAGCAAAATAACTCGTGAACCACGTGACAGATGTGAACGAAATGCAGAAAGTTCTGGTTGTTAGTAACAGAAGCTCCGTCCTCCATGTTTTATTCAGACCTCCTTCTCACCGGCACGCCTTCAGGCAACAGAAACGTTCAGCTTGTTATTAGCTAACGGGTCGATAGGATGATAAATGAGCCTAAAACAAGTCCAGCCAGACGGTGCTGTGTCCAGAACCTGCAGCAGAAAACTGCACCAGGACAAGGAGTGACTGAAGCCGAAACAATCAGAACACAAGCTAAAATGAGCAAGTCTTAAATGTAATCCCAGCTAAACAGTAGCTAAAGCTTAAATTTATCTACAGTAGCTAAAACCTAACATTAGCTCAAGCTAAAGGTGCACTAGCAAGACAATAGCTAATTTTTTTAATTAACTAAAAAGTAACTAAAATATAAGCTAGCAAGACAGTAACTGAAAGCTAAAATCTGCTAAACAGTAGCTAAAAGACCAGCTAGCAAAACAGTAGCAGTAGCTAAAACGGTTTGAATAGTAGCTAAAACTAGAATTTCAGTGACTGAAAGCTAAAATGAGTTAAACAGTAGCTAAAAGCTCAAATGAATCAACTGTATCTAAAAGCTAAAGTTAGCTCAACTGTTGCTAAAAGGTAAAGTAGCAAGACAGCAGCCGAAAGCTAAAAGAATCAGAACAGAAGCAAAAACTAAAACTAGTAAAATAGTGGTTGAAAGTTAAAATATTAAATCGTAGCTAAGAGGTCAACTAGCAAAGCTTTTTAAAACATTTAAAAAAATAGCAAATACCAAAATTGTTTGGATAATAGCTAAAAGCTAAAACTAAAAAAATCACTAGCTGAAAGCTAAAATTAACCAAACGGTTGCTAAAAGGTTAAGTAGCAAGATAGTAGCCAAATGCTAAAAGGATAAGAACAGAAGTTCAAAGTTAAAACTAGGAAAATAGTAGCTGAAAGCTAAAATCAGCTAAACAGTAGCTAAATAAATGGTTTACTGCAAGACAGTAGCTGAAAGCTAAAATTACTAGAGTGGTAGCTGAAAGCAACTGAAGAGTAACAGTTAAAATTACCTAACAGTGGCTAAAAGGTAAGCTAGCAAGATCATAGCTGAAAGGTATCAGAGCAGTGGCTGAAAGCAACAGAACAGTAGCTAATAGCTAACATGTAAACAGTAGCTAAATTGTTAACTGGACAGACAGCAGCTAAAAGCTAAAATGTCTATAGCAGCCCTAGTATAATGTGCTGCTGACTCGGCTTCACTCAGTAAACAACCACGAGGCGAGGAAATCTTTTTTTTTGCTTAAAATTGAGAAAACTATAAAATAAAAGCCACAAGTTACAAACGAATAAATCTGATCTCTTAAACAACCGGATTGTTAAACTGGAATATTGTACATTTAAATCAACAACAAATAATGTATAATTATAACAAACATTTGTCTGAGTCTCGTCCCGTTTGAGCGCTCACGCTGTGTTTTCATCTTCTCGTAGAATTTCGGGGTTCACCTGCTGAAAACGGTGCGCCTCCTGCGCCTCCTGCGCCTCCTGCAGAAGCTGGACCGGTACTCCCAGTACAGCGCTGTGGTGCTCACGCTGCTCATGTCCACGTTCGCCCTGCTGGCGCACTGGATGGCGTGCGTCTGGTACTTCATCGGGCGCAGCGAGATCCAGAGCAACGCGTCCTGGGACATAGGTCAGCGTTTCCGTTGAAAACCACGTCCGGGTGTTTCTTCTGGTTCTTACCGGCTGCTCGTCAGCAGTCGGGGAACTGGTTTACCTTTCCAGTTTCGTTTGAACTTTAAAAATGTTTCCCCCGTTGAAGTTCACGTGATTCTCTTCAGCTCCTTCTAAAACTTCTCTTCCAAATCTGCTTCAGCTCCAGCTCTACTTTGGTCTTAAGCTACTTTTGTGCCATTAACTCTTTTTTTCTTCTGTTATGCTAATTTGAGCTTTTTGCTCTGGTTTAGCTAATGTAAGCTTCTAGTTAGCTTATTTTATCGTTGTCCTCCTTTCAGCTTTTAGCTACAATTTTATTATTTTTTTTGTTGCATTTATTTTTGCTCTTAGCTAGCACCCTGCTACATTTAGCTAGCATCCTGTTAATTTTAGCTACTAAGTGCTGTTTTGCTAACTTGACCATTTTGCTAGAGTTTAGCTAATTTTAACTTGTAGATAGCTTCATTTTGTCTTGTTTTGCTCCTTTTAGCTACATTTTTTGCTGCATCTATTTGCAGTTTTCTTGATCCTAGCCATGAACCAGCTGCACTACTTACCATTCCGCTATAATTTTAGCTTTTAGCTAGCTTTATTTCTTTTGTTATGCTCATTTTAGCTATAGTTAAGCTTTTTTTTTTTTTTTAGCTCGGCTAATGTAGCTGCTTTCTACTGTTAAGCTAATTTGAACTTTTAGCTCAGGTTTAGCTAATTTTAGCTTGTAGTTCACTTTGTTTTATCTTGTGCTGTTTTTAGCTTTTAGCTTCAGATTTGCCAATTTTCATTGCAGTTTTGCTTCTTATGCTCTTAGCTAATATTTCGCTAATTTTAGCTGCTACCAACCATTCTGCTAATTCAACCTTTTAGCTCTTTTTTGTTGTTGCTCCTTTTAGCCACAGTTATGCTCATTTTAGCTTTGTTGCGTTTATTTGAAAACCTCATTTTCATCTTTTTTAGAATAAATTCAGAATTCACTTTTCAGAAAATACCAATTTTTTAAGATGTTTTTTTTTTGCCCCCTCTGGGCATACATTTTTCTGTCTGTTAGCAAAATATCTTATGAGTGGTTTGACAGATCTCAGTGAAACTCTCAGAATTTAAGCATTAGATGAACCTTTACAAAATGTTTCCTTCTGGAGTCAACCCAAGCCAAGATGGCTGCCACAGGTAGGAAACCTTAGTAAACACAAAATTAGCTACAGAGCAGTGAAATTTACAAATATGGAGCTAAAGTTCGGCGTGGTGGTAGCCGAGAGTCCTCCCTAACGTGCGCTTTGAGTGATGATCTGAGACGACACAAGCTCTGTGAAAACAATCCACCGTGTTGCTAAAAATAAACCTCGTTAGCAGCATTTTTACCACTCTGGGGGTAAAAAGCTGCGACATGCGCTCCTCCTTCCACCGAGAAAACACGTCTAATTCTGGGGGGGTGTTTCCCCCACTCCCACGGTGCGCACCGGTGCCAAACAACAACGCAGCGAGCGGAAGCAGAAGACACGGGGACAAAAACCTGTCTCCAGTGGCACACGGAGCGTAGACGGGGGGAGGGGGCCGCGGTGCAGGTGGCCAGGGGGTCCACCATCAGTCAAAGGGCTGATAAGTGAGGAAGACGAAGCTGCTTCGGACGAGCTTGCGTTAAAAACACTTGTTTACAAACGGTTATTATTAGCCTTCAGCTGCTTTCGCACGTCTCTACAAAAGGTGCCAAACTGCTGCAAATAATGATTTAAACATGAGACCAACGCTCGAGAAGACGGGAGGGAACAGAGACGTTACATAAAGAAGGAAAAGAGTTTCGTTTCAAATAGAAGAGTAAATCTAGAGTTCACGTCCATCTGTTGAGTCAAATTCAAACACAACTTCAGTTTGTGTTAAAGAATCAGTTTCCTGTCGAGCATCTTAATTAAACAACTGTGTCCCTGTCATGTACAAAGTGATACAAACTAAACCTCGTACGGTGTTTTGGGATCTCGTTTTTATAACTGAACTCATCGGTTCTCAGATGTTGGTCCAACTAGTCAGAAGTCTCTTAAAAAAAAACAGTTTGATGTAAAAATAGAAAGTTGTTTTTTTTTTTATTCTGGTTTGTGCTCAGGGCGACACGGTGGCTCAGTTGGTAGAGCTGCCGCCGCTCAGAGAAAAGGTTGCCGGATTGAATCCCAGCTGAGGGCTTCTCTGGATGGAGTTTGCATGTTCTCTCCGTGCATGCGTGGGTTTTCTCTGGGTACTCCGGTTTCTTCCCACAGACCAAAAACATGCATGTTAGTCTTGTTTGTCTCTATGTGTCCCTGTGATGGACTGAAGACCTGTCCAGGGTGTCCCCCGCCTCTCACACAGTGATAACTGGATATGGACACCAGTGACCTGGTGGCCTGAAAATGAAGAAGCAGTTAAAGATAATGGATGGATGGTTGGATGGATGGATGGTTGAATGGATGGTTGGATAGTTGGATGGATGGATTATGGATGTATGATTGAATGGATGGATAATGGATGGTTGGATGGATGGTTTGTTGGAAAGATTGATGTTGGCTGATGGATGGATGGCTGGTTGATGGATATATGATGAACAGATGGTTGGATGGATGGATGATGGTTGGTTGGATAGCTGGATGATGGATGGATTGATGGATGGTTGGTTGAATGGATGATTGATAGATGGTTGGCTGGCTGGATGGATGGTTGGATG